AAAAAAAAAAAAAAAAAAAAAAAAAAAAAAAAAAAACCAACAACAAAAATGATGCAAAGGTGAAAGGTTCTGAAGGACACTTTAAGGCTAGAGATTGGCCCGGTGCGGAGGCACATGCCTTTAATACACACACACAGAGGCAAGATCTGAGTTCAAGGTTAGCCAGATAGATAGATAGATAGATAGATAGATAGATAGATAGATAGATAGATAGAGATTATAGATAAGCTAGGCTAACTGCTTCCATTTAGCACTGTCCATTTTTCAGCGGCAGGAAGGTGTGAAGACCTCGGTTCTGCCTATTAGCCATGTGTACATGCTGCGATGATTGATGTAAAACAGTGAAGCTCTTGGCTTCCACAGCATAGCTGAAAGATCAGCAGAAGGCACCCTTGAGCATCTAACTAGTGCCTTGTACCCACCAGGTGGCTCCAAAGCACACCCTTTGAGAGCTGAGAGCCAGCGCTGGTTTCTCTCCTTCCTTGGAGCAACCTATTCCTTAATCAGCAGATGGATTGGAGAGGAACAGGGTCAGAGTGGACCCTGGATAAGAGTTGTCTCTCTCTCTCATTTAAGCCAGACATAGAACAGCTATCCTGCTTCCTTCCAGAGGGAGATAAGACTCCACTCATATTCCATCTGCTTTACTCTACACTACACTACTGAGCCCCCACCAAAAAAAAAATGGAGGCGGAGAACCTGTCTGTGACGAAGAACCAAGGTGGCTGTTTCATGGTGCCACAGTTATCTTCAAGCCAGTGAGAGGCTTTTGTTGAGAGGTCAGTGTTGGGGATGGAACTGGAGGCCTCGGTGCTAGCATGGGATCTAGCACTGAGCTTCACCCCTAAATGGGACCATGGTGGCTGTGGTGGCTCTGCCTCCAGCTGGAGCACACTGGGGAGGAATAGGCACTTCTGGCCGTAAGTCACACTGGTGCAGAGGCTGCCCCTCACTGAGTCACTCTGATTCTCTGACTGTGCCTTCCTTGCCCTATAGCTGCT